ATCAGACCACAGAGCAAAAGAAATCCAGGAAAGCACAGGTAAGGCATTTCTTAGTATCACTCATCCATCACCACAAAATAAAACCAGAACTTCTTCAAGCAGGTGAAGCAGTAGGTAACTGAGTCACACAGCAGCTCTTCCACATTTAGAAGACCTCTGGTCAAAGCTATATGACAAGAGGATATTTATTAGTTGAGATTATAAAGTTGCTATGCCTGAATCATTCAAACTCGAGGTGATTAGAAAGAAGTCCTTCACCTGAGCTAAAATGTGCGCTCCGATCCACAGGGCAGAACCTGCCAATGAAGAATCCCAGCCCAAGCAGAGCAAGTGGATTTTTCTAGTGGTATCTGCTGTCACATCAGCTGCACAAATTCCTTCGTGGCAAAGAAAACCCACTGCCAGTGTACACAGAGCGGTGCATTCTGAAGGGAAAAGCTCTCTCTACCACGAAATTCACCATCTCTAGATCAAACTTCACAACTCGAGAGAAAATCTTACTTAGAAAACCAGAATGCCCAAGGAACAGGAGGAATAAATATGTCACATCATAGATAACACCATGCTGTTGTCTTGCTCTTTCCCAGTAGGAAACTGAAGCCAAACCAGGAAAGCTCAAAGCTGGAAGTGAGAAGTGGAGAATGCTGTAAGAACAGGCATGTTTAGATGGGGAGGCTGCTGCACACATGGGAATGAGTGACATAAAACCCAAGAAACTTCCAGCCACCTCATCCTGACATGAGTTCCCATCCCACACAAGACTTAGAGAAACCAGAGAGCAAACGCAGGCTGTTCCCATGATCATGGAGCTCTTTTCTATGACAGGAGCTTTCTCTATCAGTATTAAAAGCAAATAAGATTTGTATCAGGCCTGACCCAAAGGAACAGTGATGGGGAAGAGAGCAGAGACGTGACCCTGGCCTGCAGGAATGCAGGGCCCACAGTGCTCCTGAGCTGGAGGGCCCCTCCCTGCCTCCCCCTGGTCAGGGCAGGTTTACCAATGATAAAAAAGGCTTACCACAGACTGATGGTCTGTTTGTCTCATAAAATTAAGATGCTGTCTTTAGCATGAATACTAAATGGTGAAAACCACTCAGAATTAAATACAGCATATAAAGCTGGGGTTTCAGATTTCCAACAGCAGCCTGCAACAATACACATACAAATTGGGCTCACTTATTTAGATGGAATTAATCAGGATTACCACTTTCATCTTAACAATTTAACTGAAGAACTAAATCAATAGCACCCGATCAGTAAAATATTACTGTTGTTTCCACAGTGCTGAGGCGTTTTCTCTATTAAGAACCCTTTTTTTTAATTATTATTTTTTTAAAAGATCAATATCCTCAGAGCATCAATGCAACCATTCAAGGAGCACAGACCTGCATCAGCACCACAGCCTCAGTGAGGCATCTCCCCCTGCAAACACACCACTACCCCACCTGCATCCCCAAACGCAGAGTGAGGATTTGTTCTTTTTCAGAGGTTGAACTCCTGCTTCTTAATATTCATAGGAAAGCAAATAAATCCACTCTGTAACCAGCATTTAAGTTCAACACACAAGAAGCTGCAATCTTGGCCCTGCAGCTGGCTGAATTCTAATCCTGCAAGCACCGACACCCACAACAGCCCCACAGGGTGAATGGAAGCAGAGTGCCTCCCTCCCACTCACTGACACCTGGAAGCTGTGGCAGATCCTGCACAAGGAAGGAGCACTGCCAGCCATCAGCAGGAACCTCAGGTGTACCTCCTCCTTGCTGATGCAAAGTGAGCTAAAACACGCTGGCTGTATTTTATGCAGGAGCTAGAGATGGTGCAAAAACGTGCTTTTACTCTTCCACTATTCCTCTGGCTGATGCTGCACAAGTTACATTCCAGGGTTTTTTCATCACGACAAACACAAAGCACACTGCAAAAGGCATCTCCAGCCCGGGCACTCACAGCTGGGGACAGGCAGCAACACACTACAAAGCCCTCTGGAAGGCAGCTGGAGTCACACAACAGCTCTCACTCACGAGACACAGGCTCCAGGGTCAGCAGCCCTTTCTCCTTTGCCTATTTATACACACGTGTTATCAGCAGCGTTGGGGCACACGGATCTCAGCAACCAAACTGCTTGTATCAGATGGCACACAACAGCCAGTGCACACCAGCCTGGTGTACACACAACAGGGACATCAGCTGGAGACTTGTGCTGCAGGGACGTAACTGAAACCTGCATATCTGTGCTCTATTTTTAGCTTGTCATATGTTGAGAAATCATCAAATGCATGAAGAACAGAAACAAATCCCAACTTTACGTTCCTCAGGCACCCAACAAACCTCTGCTTCTGTGTCATTCAGCTCCCATAGTGCAGCTCCCACACACCACGGGCAGCCCTGGCAGCAGCACACGTGGCACAAGGAGCTGCAGCCAACGCATTGCTGAGCACCTGTTACACTCCAGAAGTCCAGCACACCTCTGGCTCCCATTGCTTCCAGCTGGGCACTTCCCAAACCACCAGTTTATCCCTAACAACAAGGCATGCACCAGTGCCAAGGACTTCACCAACCCCAGCGAGAGACGGAACAAATTTCCTGCTTCTGAACAATCTCACCTGCGATCTTAATGCTGCACCCGGTTTATCACAGCTTTCCTATTAATGATTAAAATTGACACCAATTTCAGTTTTGTTCTGAATGTAATCCTGTTTAGATCAAAGTTTTCACGTTTATCTCAAGTAGGTTTCAAAGTAGCACGAGGCAGGAGCTGATGCTCACTCCTTGCTACTAGTTAGCTGAGGGGATAAAGCCCAACCTAAGTGAAATGCTGTCCTACCTCTGAAACAAGCAGCTCACTTCACCTCACACATAAAGCAACCAGATCGATTGTGACACAGGCTCATGTTTCCAGATACTTGAAAAAAAATGCTTTAAGTTATACAGTTTTCTTCCTAAAATAATTCAGCTACGCTCCTTTCTTCTTCAGAGAGCAATGACTGCCTATTTATAGATGGAATCAAATGTCACTGAAACATTCACGGCTATGAAGAACGTGGCCTTCCAGACCTCCAACTTCTGCTCTTTTGTATCTTTTTATCAACCCCAGAAGGCTCAGAAACAGAACACTATTCCTTCTGGACACAAAACACTTCAGTCTCATGATGCAAAGGCACACATCTACCCTTCATCAAGACCGAACTACGTGGTCCTCTGCCACAACTAACAACAGGACCACCACACCCACACCCAGCACACAATGATGAGGTGCACAGCACTGTCACCCCACATCTACCACACAAAAACAAGGGCACAGCACTGTCATGCCTAGAACACAACAATGGGAAGCATGGGAACAGCACCCCTGCAACAAGAACACAGCAACAGGGAGCAGAAGACAGCCATGCCTAGAACACAACAATAGGAAACACAGCACCATCATCCCCACGCCTAGAACACATCAACAGGAGCGCAGCACTGCCATTCCCACAACCAGAACACATCAACAGGGGCACAGTGCTGCCACCCCAGCGTCGAAATGACAACAGAGAGGATCTCTGTGCACGATGTGGAACATTTGTATCCGATTCCCTCTTCCACCAGCACAGAGGTATTTGAATGTGCTTCTCCCACTTGCCAAATACAAATGTATGTGGAACGTCTCTTATTTAGGAAAAAAACCTACTACACATCAGATGTGCAGCAGAACTTCATCACACTTGCTCCCAAGAAGCGTCTCACCTCCTCATGGAAACAAAGAATCAAAGCTGCCCCTTTTCATGAACTCCCCCCCCTCCCCGGCAGGGAGTAATGGACTTTCCCCTCAGAGGAAATCCTGACTCCTGGTCCTTGTGTGGGTGGGATGGGGCAGCACATGGCTGCGGTGCAGGAACACGCTCCACAAGATGAAGAGAGGAGGCAATGAGGTGCACTGAACTTCCAGTGCTGCCACACTGCTGCTTCCGAACTCCCACTCTGGCACACACAGCCTCAATGAATATTTTGCGTATTTCTGTGCACTGCTGCCTTAACTCACCCCTTTGGTGATAATGGCTAAGGCTTCGCCTACCCTTTTGATGGTTTCAAGCCATAAAGGATGTTATTTTACGCAGCTGAGAGCACCCAACACGACTACATCACCACAGCGAGCTGCCAGCAGAGCAGCGAACACCCAAACAAAACTGCACATGAAAACAGTAACTATTACACAGATACAAAGATGCTTGTATCTAATGCTTGATTTCTCCAAGGGAAAAGAAAAAAAACCAGCAGTCTTCAGAGGTGGAATCCGCAGAGCCTGTGCTACAGCAGAGGTTAAGTCAACGCGTTCCCTGCCACAGGATGACACCAGGAGGACCGGCTCTGCCCAGCGCGATGCCAACAGGACAGCGGCACCGCTACCTGCCGGCTCCCAGCTTCCCTCGGAAAAGCCAGGACCCACCGGGTGCCGCTTCGAAATAAAACCCAGCACTCCACACGCGAGATCCTTTCCAAGCTCCGCCGACGAGGATCGCCAAAGTTTTTTCCAAGCCGTCATTTTGCGGATAACGCTGCCGCAAAACTACGGCGCGGCTCCGACCTCTCGGACCAACTCCCCTCGCCAAGGCCCATCGGAGGGCCGCCCGCTACGCTCCATCCGGACGGGATGACGGCCGCCGCAGCCCTGAGAGCCGCGGCACGGCGCAGAGGGGCGCCCAGCACCCAGCGCCCCGCGCCCCGCTCAGCGCCCAGCGCCCCCCGCCGCAGGTGGCCCCGACCCCCGCCCGGCCCCAGGTGCGCCCCGCCGAGCTGCGCAGTGGCCTCTACCGGCGCCCGTCCGGCTCGGACAAGTGCGGCGGGAGGACGGAGGAAAAAAAATAATAATAAATTAAAAAAAAAAAAAAAAAAAAACACATACACACAAAAAATATATATATACATCAAATCACAGAATGGGAAATAAAAGCAGCCCGGGGCGGGGCGCTCTGCCCCCGCCGCCCCCCGCCGCCGCCCCGCGCTCCCCCCGCCGCTCCCCGTACCTGTCAGGGGGCTCCGGGGGCCGCTCCGCGCGGCGGCGGCCGAGGGCTGCGGCTGCCCGAGGAGCAGCGCCAGCCAGAGGGAGCCGAGCAGCCGCCGCGCTCGCCCCGCCGCCATCGCTCCGCGCCCCGCGCCCCGCAGCCGCGCTCCCAGCGCCGGCCCCTCCTCCCCGGGGGGCTCCTCCTGCCGCCGGCCCGCGCCTCGCTCCCCGCTCTCGGGCCCCGCAGCCTCGCCGAGCGGGCGGCAGGCAGGCAGGCAGGCAGGCAGGCAGGCTGCGGTAGGCTCACTCCATCGCGGGCCGGTCCGCGGTCCCGATCCCGGCGCCGCGCTCCGCGGCTCCCTCACACGGAGCCGAGGGGCCGCCCGCCCCGCCCCTCCCTCGCTCCCGCCCCCGGCCCGGCCCGCCCCGCCCCGCCCTCCCC